CGAGAATCATACCACTAGACCACTCAGCCCCATGTCAATGATGTTGAAAATGAAATATCATCATCACTTTATACCATATCGCTGAACATATGCGAACTAGGTGAATAGTGGTGACGTATTGCCACATAGAACTGGTTCACAGCTCGCATACGGCGTTAGCTAGCCTTTCATTAACGTTGGAGAAATTCATATCAGAGTCATCAAAAATACGTCCAATTCCAACATTACGCACTACGTCGATGATCAAAGATTGAAGACTCAGCTGTACATGTAAAGCTATCGAGGATTAGCAGAGTAGAAAGGAGGTGCGTATATAAACCTTTGGACATCAGAATTAACAGAATGAAGTAGACGAACGCCATGTATAGAGTACTAGCATTGGCTGCAGTCGTGACCAAAATTGAATAGTAGTAGGAAGCTTCTTCGTAGAAAGTCCTGTGTTAAAATGTGATACTTATGGATTCGTATAGAAAAAAAATTCCATAGTAAAGAATAGATATTGTTGTACTGTTGTTCTTAAGAGATTTGAACAATTCACAGTGATCTTACTGCATTTCTTCAGTTTAACGTATTTTGCTTTTCCACCGGGATGCCACCGGGTGCTGTGGCGGGTGCCTGTGAGCCAGTGTCTAGGCGGTAGATTGGGGTGGATGTAGTGAGGGGAGGAGTCCCGCTGCGGCCGGGCGTCCGTGTCAAGCGTTGCGACCGCCAGGATCGTGCTGTAGGAGGATGGCACCACCTAGGGTGGTCAAGGAGTGGTGTACGGCTCAGGATCGAAAGGGAGCTGGCAAAAACTACCACTCCAGGCAGTGGGCGGATAGCGCCCGGGAGTACCCGCTCTGCCGTTGCCTCTCCGATACCTCCAGACCTCCAGTCGTTTTGACATTTAAAATGATTTCTATTATGTTGGAAAACATTCCATATTGATAAATGAAGAAAGCAACTTTATTGTCTTGTATTATTAATTTCATATAAGATGTGAAACTTTTTAAATAAGAAAGTGAATAATTACTTCATAAAAATTATGTCGCAGAAGAAATATGATTCAGATTAAAGAGATGAGTAAACGGTGAAATATCTTGGTGTTAGCTTCATAACTTTTGAGGAATTTCGTGAAATGTCCAATAATTTGCACTTATTAAAGTTTTCACAAGAAATATTTAATAATGTGTTTTCGTAAAGACTAATAGGAAATATCCCAAGTGCAAAAGCGACTGGAGGTCTGGAGGTATCGGAGAGGCCACGACAGAGCGAGTGCTCACGAGCGCTATGCGGCCACTGTGTCGCGCGGTGGCTTTTGCCTGCTCCCTTTCGGTCCTGAGCCGTACACCACTCCTTGACCGCCCGGGACATGCTATCCTGCGACGGCACAACCCTGGCGACGCAACGCTTGACACGGACGATCGGTCGCCGCACTCCACGGCCACCGCCGGACTCCTCCCCTCACTCCATCCACATCAATCTACCGCCTAGACACTGGCTCACAGGCGCCCGCCACGGCACCCGGTGGTCATCCTACAATTCGACATCTATGCTATTGAGAAGATTAGGAGGAATAGCATGCTATTGGAGGAGGTAACTACGAAATATGGAAGCATATAAAATATGCTTTTGTAATAAGGTAAAGAGAGGTGAAATGGAAGAGTGGGAAATAGGAGGGAGTTGGAAGATTCACGAATGTTTAATTATGAAGTTATATCTGTTGCTTCTATGACGTTATAATTAAAGTCTTTATTCAATTTCTTCCTGGAATCGAAGAAACGTAGAGAACGCTTGTTATGAGTAGCGCAATTATTCCCAGGAAATAATCAATAGTGCCCTATGAAGTGATTCCGAATTTGATTAGAAAAGATTCAACGACGAGACAATTTGATTTCTACAAAGCAGTCCATGTTCTGATCAATATATTGACAGCACTAAAGACTCTACAAATTGTTCAGTGAAAGCAACGATATCTTCTCGAATTAATTGTCAGACGGAATATTAACCCAATTTCTGGTGTAACAAGCGAAATATATTTTGTCTTCAGCACCTATGTTTCTTTAAAGTGTAGAATGAATGAGCTCAGTCATATTAAAAAAATACTCGATAACAGATGAGCCAGAAAAGCTTTGGAATTAGAATTTTGATGAATAGAATGGAGTGATGCAACAGGTCGATGACCTACCTCATAGATGACCTCTTTGGTGACTAATGGTAAAAACCTGTATTATTGTTCCATACCGATGCATTTCTTCTTCGTTATAAATGTTCTTAAGTGAAATACGAGTGAAAAATTGTTGGAGGTATGCAAGAAATCTGCTTGGATTTTTGAGCACAGCTTTTGATAAGTGGTAGCAGCGCTAAAGGTTTCATCTAGTACACAACTAGTTTCAGTACACACACAACAGAATAACAAACGTATGTAGGAAC